TTTTTTTTTTTTTTTTTTTTTTTTTTTTTTTTTTTTTTTTTTTTTTTTTTTTTTTTTTTTTTTTTTTTTTTTTTAATAGCTCATTAAAACAAAAAACTCGAAATTGTTGTTTCGGTGACTATGCTCGTTTGCAAATTTTTCAAACATTCGTCGTAGAGTGATTATTCTATTTTAATTTTACGGAAATCCACAATACTAACAAAAAAATTTCTGATTTTCGAAAACACCGTAAGATATAAAACATAGTACTCATATAATTAAGCAGCTCAGGTATACCAGGGCTCTGTCAATGTTTTTTAATTAAATATTGTTCAATTGTAAAATAAAATTTTCAAAAAAATTGAAAATTCTTTAGGATTACACATCAATAATATATTTTGATTTATTTATGTGTCATTGCGATGTTATATTGAATGATAAAAACAAGAAATTCATTGCAAACTTTTTCGGCTTTGGCACGTTTTTTACCTTAATTTTGAAATCTAATCAATCAATGATAAAAACACCTAAATATTTGGTCAGTTTTCGTCATGAAATTCAATACGTAAACTTCGCATTGTGAACGATTTAAATCATCTAAAATTCGTAAATCGGTCTTCCAATGAACTCGGGATGACCGGTACCCCTTTGAAATAAAGCACCAAACTATCAGAACGAGTCAAATGCCGCGGACCCCGCAGCTTCCGTCTGTTTCTCTTTATCAATATTTTTTTTTTTTCTCTTTTGCTTTTGCCAATTGTAAGTTCCATCCTTTTCTGCTCTTTGCAAAGAATGGTGCAAAAAATACGCGGGTCACGTGTTTTCTACGGCGCAATTACACATGCAGACGTGCGCATGCAATCTACGTAATACCTCATCCGATTTCCCAATGATCTGTTTTAAAATAATCCTTAAACATTGGTTCATTTATACATAACAACTATGGAGCAATTTAACTGATTTTTTGTTAATAGCAGTTATTCTAAAAATAACATTAAATAATCATTACAAAACAGATCTTTGTGAAATTGGGTAAATAACAATAGCTCGCCTCAACGACTACAAAGTTTTATTTTTCAAAGTATTTTATGAAAACACTTTTCCCACAAACGGCAAATCGTCCGACAAGTTCTGAATTACGATTTTAAACTATTCGTTCGTAAAAATTCATCTTGACGCGTCCTTCCCGCTCGCGAAGACTAAAACAATTAAATATCGGTCGATTAATCACGATCGTTACGTTACATTGTAATTAATTATGATTATTAACACGTTAGAAATTACAAACAATGAGAAATATTTGTCATGAATTGCGAGTAAATTTTTTCGTTCTATTTTTTTTTTTTTTTTTTTTTAGCAATATTTTGACTAATTTTTCAATAAAGATAATAAGTTCCGATAAAAGCTATTTTGAACTAAAACATACATTGCACAAAAATAAAATTAAGTATCTCATTTTTTTTGTTCAAAAATACATTCACGTGCTTTTTTTATTGCAAATTCATCAAAATTAAACATCCGCCCACACCAAAGTTATTTCTTTTGTTTAACATTTTTTGGTACTACTATCGTCTCCTGTAGGAACAGTAATTCTATAAAAGTTTAATCCATCCCTGGAAGCGTATCAAAAATAATAAGTATCGAAAAACATTGAAAAACACCCATGATTCTCAACACGCGTTTGTAAATTTATTGTACATGAATAATGTTTAAAAAAAAAAAAAACACTAGGGTTTCTACAAATCTGCGGCAATTCAGAATTCTCGCAATTTTCCCAGATTATCTAGTTTACAACATAAAATTTCACGAATAATACAATACACGGAATGGATGTAAGTTTAAGAAGTATGAGTCGATATAATAATAGTAACAATAAAAAAAAAAAAAAAAAAAAAAAAAAAAAAAAAAAAAAAAAAAAAAANAAAAAAAAAAAAAAACTGAAAGAATTTTCAAATAAAAAATAATTAATTAATTTGATAACCGTCTATGACTCCTGGAAAATGCAACCAGGCCAAACAAATATTTTTAGCTAAATGGAAAACCCAACAAAAGCATACATATTTCTCGTAATTACGTACTCGAGTCTCATCCATTCACACATGAGTAAAAAAAAAAATTCCTCGAAAACTACCGATTTCTACCAATTTGTAGAAACCCCGTGGACAAAAGTACAATCCCGCGAGCGACTGATCGTGCAACACTTACTTGCTGGGGTGGAGGACGAGGTGCGCTTCTTCATCGCGGACGGTGCAGGTTGTATTGACACGGGTAACTGTCGGGCCGGCACCTGTTCCCCTTCGCTCCGCTTTGCATGCACTACTGTACTCAAAACACCGAATCGGCAAAAATCATGCAATCGTTACAATTGAGATACACCGATTCCTCGGGCCACGTTTTATCGACATTTTTTTCGACCAATGCCAGTGATTCAATCCACGCGATCGGGGCTCGAGGAATCAATACTTTATATTATAAACACTACATTCAAATGGGTGCATCAACATACGATATACACAAGGCGAGTGCAACATTGAAACAACATCGTGAAGTAAAGAATGATGCGGAACACAAAAAAAAAAAGTTGCAAAAAATCTACAGGCATGCAATTGTCGTGTCAAATGTAGGTACGGAGACATCATTTTTTTTTTCTCGATTTATCACGTTAATTTTTTAGTAAGTATACCTACCGCTATGGTGTGGAAGCTAATCTGAAAGTTGTGCAACTACGGAAGCTTAATATTAGTTATTATATACAGGGGGAGGGTTAAAACATGAGTGGTATTCGTGGGAACCTGAAAATTCGTATTATCAATATCATATAGTTAATGTATTAATATGTGCTGGTATGAAAATATGTTTCTGCAGTGAGGTGCTCGTTCCATCGCCTATATATAAAGTATGACAAGAAGAAGTGCTTGGATGAAAAAAAAAACAAAAAAAAACAAAACTGTGCTCTATTCACATGTAGCAACTGTCTACGTGTTGCTACGGTGTTAATACAACAATGGTGAGTGTTTTGTCAATTTACAAGCTGAAAACATAAAACGCCAATGTGATTCCATCTGTTTCGACGTTCCATCACCTGAGAGTGTGTTATAAATATGTTATCAACATGAGTTGCCCAAAAGTGTGTATTGTATTATATGTACATGTCAATATCAAATGAAAAGATATATCTTACCATCGATTGTATGAATGATATATTTACAGTATTAATGAATGTTAGTAAAAAGAAAAAAAAAGGAAGTCTAGATTAAAAAATCGCTCATTCTTCTTAAGAGTGATTGTAAAAAAAGAAATGTTTTAGTAGAAGTAGAAAAAAAAAGAAAGGATCAAGTGTAGATTGAAAAACAAGCGAGAGAAGTTAGAAGAATAGAAAATGATTGGTGATGTACTTGTATATTCAACAAAACGGAACAACGGCTACGGGCAGAGACTCACCTTCCTTGGGCTTCTCTTGAGCCTGCGTTGGTCGCGTGGAAGATTTACGCTGTGCCGCTGTGGTTCGTGCATTCCGCGTTAAATTTTTTTTTGTTTTTTTCAAGGGTGGGGTGCATTCGTTATTTATTATTTTATTTTTTTTCCAAGGGAAACAATTGGATTTGGAGTTTCAAAGGGGGGCCGAGGAGGGAAAAACAGAGGCAAAAAAGAAACGTGCTGTTAGCGAGAGTTTCATGCTTTGTTGGCAAAGTATTTGTTAATATATAAACCATCTCCTATCAAACTAGAAGGTTAGTTGTATCAATCGTGTACGAAGATTGCAGACAGAGGAGACATATGTGAGAGGAAGCATCGTTCCCGCACAAGAGAACAAAGAGAACGGAACCTTCTAATTTCATAGCAAAAAATTTTTTTTTTTCTTTCTTTCTTTTCCTCGTATTATCAACTTTCTTTCAACGTTTGTTTCTTCACTTGAAATGAAGCTTGGAAATTTTAACTTGCATTTTAATAATTGCATGGATGTATATTTTACGCAATGAAAAAAAAAAAATAAATTAAAAAAAAATGAAGTATCGAATTACTTTGAGACTGTTAATTTTCACAAATTGTTAGAAGCAAAACTAAAAATCTACTACTCTCAATGAACAATTGTAACAAATGTGCCGTAACCTGGTGAAAGACAACTAATGAAACTGTTTTTTTTTTTTTTTTTTTTTTTTTTTCACGGACACGATTTGGCAAAACAAAATATATGAGAAAGCAGGAAGCTCGATCGTTGAGCGTTGACTTACCGTGATCGTCATCGCGTTCTCTGCTTGGCACACCGTCGGCCTCCGCTCTGTTACGATAAACATGAAATTGTTAATGAGTTAAATTCTGCTCTATCAAGATGGTTCCTATGGATAAAGCATGATCTGAGTCACTAATCACAATCGTAAGGGTAAGAAGCTACCAAATTACTTATTACTCTTTTTTTTCTGTTACACGTAAGGACTTGAAATTTCATACATGTAAACGTCAACGTAAACAAAATTATTACATTCACTAAATTCCCAACACACTTTTGTTGCCAAGAGACACTGAAAATTTTAGGTTGGAATTTTTTCTGAACAAACGAAAAATCTGTTCAACTACGATAAAAATTTACATGGAAACTATACAACCCTTTGATTTTTAAATTATATTTCACCTCCGATCCTTTACAATTACTAGCGAGTTCAATGTTAATCCTTGCCCTACCACGGAAACCACCTTCAAGCTACTGTTTTTCAAATAAAAAAAAAAAAACGCTACCTTTCGCCTGTTGGTTCATCCGGACTGGTTACTGGGGTGGCCTTGGCCAGTCTCGCAGCTTCCGCGGCGGCTGCCTCTTCCTTTTTGCGCCTCTCTTCCTCCTCCCGCTCTTGTTCTCGTCTCTTCAGTTCTCTCAGCTCAAACTGTAATTGACAGAATTGAGCAAGTGTTGTATTTTATTATAAACGAGCTACTTGGAAGCCGTAGGTGTTTTTCGTTTAACACAAAACTCACCGTTGTCAGACGCTGCAAGGCACTGAATCTCTCCTCTTGTGCGCATGCTGATTTTTCAAATGCTTCGTGCTTCTTAATCAAGTTTTCGACTTCGTCGATTGTGTGCTGCAAGTTAAAAAGGGAATTGAACATAAATTTCGCTGCTCTCGGGCTACTCTTGTGAACGAGACCAACGTCAAAATCAAAAGTACTCACTCCAAGTTCTTGCCTCATGAGGTAAGGCTCCTGAGCAACCAGCCAGGCCTCTGCAACCGCTGCGTCCCTTGCGAACTGATAGACTTCCAAGACTGTAGGAGGTGGAAAATTCCAATGAGGAAATATATTCTCGCTATACGGCATTATGGGGCGGTAACGCATTTGTACTCACTGAGCTGTAGATTCTCCCAGCGCTCCTCCCAACGATGCAGCAGCGCGCTCCTGTGATCCGTGAGAGCCGTGAGTTTTTCCTTGATTTGCTCGCTGGCGTAGTGATTTCTCGCCAGTAGGTCCTTGCCGAGGTTGATGCAGCTGATCAAATTGTCCTCCCTCGTGTCGATTTCGGCCTTGAGGCTCTGGTGGTTGTTCATGAGGAGCTCGACCCCGCTAACGTCCCTCGGCTTCTCGCTCGTGTTCATTTGCCTGACCACGTCGTCTATCCAGATCATCAAGTTCCTCACCATGTTGAAGAACCTGAACAGATCCCCGGTGTCGTCGAGCTTGCTCATGCGCGCCTCGCACAACCCCTGCAGGTTGTTCCACGCGGCTACGACCTCGGCCTCGCGGTTTGTGATCTCGACCGCCTTGTCACCCGCGTAGCTCGCCTGCAGCTTAGCCGACTCCTCCTGTATCTGGGACACCTGGCTCTGAAGCGTCGTCAGGTCTTGGATGAAGTTGGCGTGCTTGCGCTGGAGCGTCGACACCGAGCCCGCGTCCCGGCCCAACTCGTCCGAGATGGCGTTCTGCTTCTCGAGTATGCGCCCGTGCACGTCCTTACAGTCGTGGAAGAACTTGTGCAGCTCCCGGCTCGCGTCCAACATCTGCTTTCGGGTCTCTATGAGCTCGTGCAAGTCACCCCAGGCCTCGTTCAGTCCGTCCTTCCACTCGGCAATGGTCGCGGCGTCCGAGTGGCTCGCCGAGATCAACGAGTCCGCGATCCCGATGACGCTGTTGACGCGCTCGGTTCCTATGGCCTCGGTGTCTCGGGCGAATTCCTCGAAGCGCACCCACAGCAGGGTCACGTGGTCGTAGTCCTGGCCGAGCTCGTGGCTGCCCGCGACGAGTTCGCGCTCGCTTATCCACTGCTCGAGATCGTCGACCTCGCGGTGGAGCATGAACAACTGGAGGGCCTCGTCTAGCTTGGCCCTGCGCTCACCAGCCAGGTCCTTCAGCCCGGCGTAGAGCTTGTCGACCTGGGACTGCTTGACCGCAATCTGGTCGGCCAGTGGGTGCTTGTCGCTTATCAATTGCCGCGCCGTTTCGCCGAGCTGGCGAATCGTCTCGGCGTAATCCTCGACCGCGTGCTCCAGGCCCTCGTGTTTCTTCATTAGGTTCTGGGCGGATATCTCGTCCTTGCCCCGGTCCTCGACCATCATGTACAACTCCTGCTCGCTCATCCAGGACTCGGCCTCGGTCGCGTCGAAGAAGTACTGCTGGGCCTTCTCGTTCTGCAACAGGTGGGCGTTGCGCTCGTCCAGGGCGTCCTTGAGCTCCTGCCACTTGTCCGACAGCTCGGATATCAGTCTGCGGAACTCCTCGCTGTCCTCGTGGCCCTCGTCTATGAGCTTTTGGCCGTTGTTCGAGACGAAATTGATCCGCGGCTCGTGGTTCTCCATCTCGGTGCGCAGCGATTGGTTCTTCTTCTTGAGCATGTGTACGTTGAACAACGAGGTGCCGTACTCGCTGCTCGTCGCCTGGGGCATCTTCTCGTTGATCCAGAGCTTCTCGTCCTCGACGTCGCGCCTGAACTGGAAGGCCTCCTTCTTCTTCTCGAGGTTGCGCTGGCGCTCGACCAGGGGCGCCTTGAGGTTCGCGAAGCGCTGCGTGACCTTTTCCTTCTTGCACTTGATCTCCTCCATCTTTTCCTCGGGCACGGTCTGTTGCAGGTGCTCGGCTTGTTTGTCGAGCTCGGTCACCTGGCGCGCCTTCACCGCCATCTGGGTCTCGATCATCTGGTGCTTTTGCATGAGTATGTTCACCGAGGCGAGATCCGAGCCCGTGTCCGAGCTCTCGATCTGCTTCTCGAGCTCGTTCATCCACGTGTCCATGTCGTCGAAGGTCTGGTGCACGAGGACCTCGCGATTCGCGTCGAACAGCCGCTCGCCCTTCTCGCGCGTCGTCGTCTCGAGCTCGTCGAACTGATCGGCTAGCTCTTTGACCTTTGGCTCGATCGTCTCGGCGAATTCGGGCTTCAGCTGTATCAGCTCGTCCGCGGCTGCCTGCAACTGCTGGAGCCGGTCCTTGTTGCTCGCTATCTCGGCCTCGAAGGCCTGATGGCGCGTCCACTTGCTGTGCACGGTCTTTGCGCTCCGGTACGTCTCGTCGTGGGCCGTTATGTGTTTCTCCTGTATCCACTCGCCGAGCTCCTCGCAATCCTGCAGGAAGAGCTGGAGCTGCTGTTGGTCGCGCAGCTTGTCAGTCAGCTGTTGGGCCTTGTCGCGGTTGACGTTGCGCCGCTCGTTTATCGACTCGGCCTTCTTCTTCACCTTGTCCGCGGCGTAATGGCCCTCGTCGACCAACCGCGAGGCAAACAGCACGACGCTGTTGATCTTCTCGTCGTTGGCCTCCATCTTGGTCATCAGGTCCTCCTGGCGTTTAATCATGTTCTCGGCTTGCTCAAAGTTCGTCGGGGTCTCGTCCTTGGCAAGGAAGTGCTCCTGCTGAGAGAGCAGAACCTCGGCCTGGCGGGCGTCGCGCTCAAAGATCTGGTAATTGAGGGCGTTCGACAGCAAACCCTGGCGGTTCGTCCACATCTGGTGTAGCTCCTCCCAGCCCATTTTAAGGGCGTTGAGCCGCTCGCGCAGGAACATGTACTGGGTGTCGTTGTCACCGGCCTCACTGGTCAGCTTCTCCCCGTACTCCATCATTTTCTGGTAGTCGTCGGTGTAATTGTCGATCTCCTCCTTGATGTTCTGGTGCTGGGCCAGGAGTTTTTCCGCGTCGGCCAAGCTCGTCGGCTCGTCCTCGCTCGCGACGTCCGTCTGCGACTTGGTGAGCCAAGCCTGGAAATGGTCGAGATCGCGCAGGAAGCGGTGCAGGTCACCGGCCTCCTCGAGCTTGGCGTCCCTCTCTTTGAGCATGTGCGTCAGTTGCTCCCAAATGGCGTGGATCTGGGTGATCCTCTCGCGAATCATGGCCGCTTCCTCGGGGTGTTCTCCCTCGATGACGTTGGCTTCTTTCTCGAGGGCGTCGAGTTTCGCTTGGATGGCCGCTAAGTCGCGCTCCATGCCGCTGAGACGGCGCTGCAGGGTCATGACGCCGGTGAGGTCCATCTCGAGGCTGTCGGTCTGCTGGAGAATGCGCTTTTTGTCCTCGATCCAGGACACGGTCTCGCGGCACTCGATGTGGAAGGTTTGCACGCCGTGGGCCGAGTTGAGGGCCTCGCGCTTCGACTCGGCCTTGTCCCTGAGCTCGGACCACTTTTGGTTGAGCTCGTTTTGACGCTGGTTTATTTGCTGCGAGTTCGGGTGATCGACGTGCAACAGTTGTCTCGCTGTAATTGTTCGAGAAATACATTGTTGGATCAGTGGGTCAACGGAGATGTGGGGAAAAAAAAAAAAAAAAAAAAAAAAAAATCGGAATAGTTACCGAGCTGATTGACAACAGCGACGCGCGAGGCGTTGGCGTTCATTTCCTTCTCAAAACCATCGTACCGGTGCTTCATGATTTCAACGTCCTCGATGTCCTTGGCCGGCACCATAGTATCGAGCATCCTGTTCTTCTCCCCGATCCATTGCTCCACGCCGTCGGCCTCGCTCAACAACTTGTACAGCGACAGGGCGTCCAGCAGTCTCTGCTTTCTCACCTTGGCCAGATCGTTCAATTCTTTGTAGTTGGCATCGATCTTGGCGAGCTTCTCGACCACCTCCGGCGACTTGGCGTCTTTTTCGTTGAGTTGTCCTGGGAGGAGAAAAAACAAGACGAGTTACGATCACGCGAACCACCACTATACGTTAAGTGTTCGGGCGCCGTTCTTGTGTACCTGCTTGTTGGTGCAGCTGTTCAATGGCCGTGGCGTAGTTCTTGAGCTCGTCGGTTACGTCTTTGTGCTTCTTGAGGAGCGACTGCACGTTCGCCTCGTCCCTGCCGACGTCCTCGGAGGACACGAGTTTTCTGGTATCCAGCATCCAGGTCTCGATGTCGGCGGCATCGGCGAGCAACTGCTGATAGTCCACGGCCTCCTCGAGCCTCTTGCGTCGGAACGCGACCAGATCCAACAGGTGGTTCCACATGGTGAGGATCTCCTGCAGGCGCTCTTGAATCCTGTCGGCTCCAAAGTGTTGCTGGCGAACTGCGTGAGAAAATAAGCATGAGTTCCCGTCGCGTTGTACACGCGTGCACAATCAGCCAACAATTACCAAGATCGTCGCCAACAGCGACGACAGACATGAGCTGGGGCTCGTGCGACTGGATCTCGTTCTCGAGGGCCTTGTGCTTCGACAGGAGCAGATTGATGGTCGTGAGGTCGTGGCCGGTGTCGCTGGTCGAGACGATCTGCTCCTTCTCCTTGATCCAGTTCTCCTCGTCCGCCATGTCCCAGTAGAACTGCCACAGTTTTCTCGACTCCTCGAGCCGGGCCCGGCGCTCAACGGCCAACCGCACGAGTTCCGAGTAGGCGTCCTCGAGCTGTTGCACGCGCTCAACGATGATCGTCGGGTCGCACGGGCGATAACCCTCGCCCTGTAAAAAAAAAAAAAAAAAAGAAAGTGTTACAAGTACTTTTTTCTTCCCCCCATTGTACCACTAAAAAACAATCACCTGCTCGAGGAACCTCTGGCTCTGCTGGACCACGGCCTTGACGCGCTCGCCGAGGACATTGATGTCGGCCTCGACGAGCGAGTGCTTCTGCAGCAAGTCCTCGACACCCATGAGATGCTTGCCGTAGTCGTCGGTGAGCAGCCTGAGCTTGATCTCCTCCATGCTGTCGAGTATGTAGAGCATCTCCTGGAAGTTTTGCTGCAGCTGTAGCGAGAGCTCGAGCCTAGAGCGCCGGGCGCGCAACAGCTCGAGCAGGTAGTTCCATAGGCGCAACACGTTGTCCTTGCGCGCGTTTATGCGCTCAATGTCGTGGTAATTCTCGGCCTCGAGTTCCTGGGAGACGGCCATGACCGCCTGGACGCGCTCCTCGTAGGCGAATATGTCGGTCTCGATGGCCTCGTGTTTCTTGGCCGCCGCCTCCACGGCCGCCAGATCGAAGCCAAAGTTGTCCTGGGAGACGAGCCTCTGGTTCTCGGACAGCCAAGTCTCGCGCATGCTAGCCTTGCGATTGAAGCGCGCTGCCAACTGGTCGAGCTTCTCTTGGCGAATGAGTTCCTCCCTTAGGGCGAGCTCGCGCTCGTGCTCGGCCTTCTCGAGACGCTCCCAAGCTTTGTTTATGTCGGATATCATCTTGCCCTCCCTGGGCGTGTAGGGCTTCTGGTTGTTGGCCCGCATCTTCGACTGGAGGGTGAAGAGGAGGACCTCGAGGTTGCCCTTCTCGACGAATTTGGGTGGCTTCTCGACGGTACGGTAATTCGAGAATTGCGACAGTTGGGCCTGAACGCCGACGAGCGAGTTGGCGAATTGCCGATCCCCGAGGCTGGTTATCGTCGACTCGATCCACTTGAGGAGCTCGCTCGTCAGGCCCTCGTACTCGCGGATCATCCGGTCGTTCTCCATGGCTATGCCGACCACCTTGCCGATCCTCTTGCCCTGCACCGTCTCCTGCTTCATCTTGGAGAAGTAATGGTAATACGTCACCACGTACGTTATGATGGACTTTTCGTCCGGATGGTCGACGAATATGTCCTCGGCGTCGAGGAGCTTGGTCAGCCCGAGCTTGTCCTCGGCCACGTTGAACGCGTTGTTCAGGTTGTAAATGGCGTTTGACTTGGACAACTTTTCGAATTGCACGAGATCGGGCCTGTGCTTGTGGATGATGGCGTTGAAGGCCAGACCGTCGCGCCACGAGGTCGTAAAGTTGCGGACGTTGACGTTATGGTAGCCGGCCGTCTTCATCTGGCACCAGAGCAACAGAGCGTCCTTGGCGCTCTTGGTCTCCTGGTTGTCGGTCTCCTCGATCGTTATGTCCTGGATCTGGAAGCGGAGGATTATCGTCCAGATGAGGCCGAGGGTCAGCCGTGGATTGCCGTCGACTATGTCGTGCGAGCCCATGTTCTCGAGGTGGACCCGCTGCTCGCGCAGAAACTGCAGGGCCTTGTCGACGTTTTCCAAACAATGGATGCGCATCTTGCCCTTTGTCGGGCGAGGCAGGCGCTCGCCCGACAGGATCTCCAGGAGTTTTATCAGCATCTTACCGTCCCGGAGGTCGACGTAGAGGTCCCCGATGCGCGCCGAGCAGCGCACCAGGTGCGAGTTTACCCACTTCTGGAAGGTCTTCTTCTGGACCAGTTCGCGCTCGCCTGAACAGACAATTGGGAGGGGGTTGTGGTTATTAATTTTTACACTCACCAAGTGTCATGAATAATATAAAAAAAAACGATCGAGCGTTTCGAAAGACGCGACTCTCGAAATATACGTATAAATGTAGGTACCATCAGTACATTGTTTACAGGCGTCGCGTCATATTTAAATTGAGAGTATATGCATACGATTGCATTGCCGCGCGAGCACGTGAGGGTATTTCGAGGAGCAACCGTTCCGAGAAAACAAATTTCATCCTCGCTGGCGCCGCGACGACCTTTGGCATCATCTGCGACTCGGCAGGCAGCGAGGGTATATACATATATATACATATATTTGCACGTGCGCGGCAGATTAAATCTTTATGTATACAATTTATGGTTTATCCGCGTCTATGAGTAATTTCTCCGGTTTTTACCTACATATGACAATAATTGAATTAAAACGAGTGTATGTATGATATGTACATACGTTAAATTGAAAAATATACGCGTCATTGTACGCGCCGATGCGAGCCTTGTCGCGTCATATTGTATGATGTTTTTACACGCGTAGGTGTGTGTACACGTGTCCGATACAAATGTACATTGCAGTTGCATAACGAGGCGTCGTCGTCGGGGGCGACTCGGTTGAGCAAATTTTTTTTTTGCGCGATAAGTGGGTGTGCGTTGGGTCCGTTCCGAAATTATGTATGCACAGTTGAAAGATCGGGTGACGAAATTACACGGTACGCAGTTGTATCCTGATGTGTAATTTATACGTGTAGTCAACAAGTTTTTTATTTGTTTTGCGTCGCGTGTCGAAGCGTAACTATTATATTATTGTGTACACGTGATTTATGGAATGGAAGAAAAGAAAAAAAAAAAAAAGTAAATGTCGTACGGACCGGCCAAAGCCTTGATGCGCGAGCGCTCGAATAGCCTAGAGCTCGAGTTTCCCCCATCGTATTCGTACTCGTCGACGATCTCTTGCTGGAGCGCTGGGTCCCAGCCCGTCCGTTGCACCGAGATGTCGGTCGTCATTCTGCTAATGCCTCCTTCGTCGTCGTCGTCGTCGTTTTTTACTCGTCGCCGCCGCCGTCGCAGCCGCCCTTGGCACCCGCTGACAACACCACAGCTCTCTACCTCTCTATATCGGTTAGCTTGCGCTTATCCTTCCTTTCGTTCTGTACACGCCAAGCCCACAACTTCGGATTACCTGTGGAACAACAAAAATCGATAATATTTCTCTTTACAACTACTTTTTTTTTTTCTTTTCTTTTTTTCTTTAGGTATGTGTTATATTACTACGTGCAAGGTGTACCCGTGGTAAAGAGATCGGAAAATATGCGCGAAAGCTCAACCGATCCTTCTAAGGTTTACTGTTGTAACCATAATTTTTTACTATTTGCCTATGATTTACCGCGCGGAGTGTTAATTTTTGCTGGAATTTGTCCATAATTTTTATCATTTCCTTTCTCTCAGTGTATATATACTACATATATGTATATTTACTTCCACGACAAAAAATAATTTACTCCCGAGCCGATTGACCGATGAAAAATAATAATTAAGTATAAACTCTTCACCGCTTGAGCAATGATCATAGGTACATGGACAATAATAAATGTTGGATCTCTCCAACGACATGAATATATATATTACAGTTCCCCCCGCGAGGCAGGGACGATGAAAAAACTGGCCAACCGACCAAATGATGGGTGCCTCTACATACGGCAATGAACACGAGCCACATGGACAAACGATATATGTATGTGTAAAATAACGAGTGGCATTACGTCATATGTGTCGGTGATGATGGTGCTGATGATGTCACCCGCGTTTGATATATATATATAATACACGCGCATCCGAACGGAACGGAAAGAGCGCCCGCTGCTTTTATTTGACTTTGATGCGCTTTTTTTCAAATCACTATAGCAGTATACACTATAGCAGCCCATCGCTTCGTTTTTCATTGGGCATTGTTTTTTTGCGGTTCAAATTTTTCAAGGTCCACACATATTCTGCGCAGTTCGCGTCCCATTGGCTTGAATGGAAAATAAATCGGTACTCATTCGTTTTTTTCGAGTCTGCCGAGCACAGTGGCACATGTCCGAGGAATCTTTTTTTCTTTTTTTTTTTTTCCACCCAACTCACGAGTCTTTTTTTTTAAGGGTAAGTATCGCGTAAATGGGTCCGCAAACGAAAGTTCGTGTGAAGAGCCTTGAATTAACCAGATAGCCGTGTACAACAATGTTCGATACTTTATGGGAACCAAAATTCACACACAAGACTATACCTTTGCTTACTACTCGACGCTAATGAGTTTCATAGAAAAAACCGTTAGATGTTTCGATCTCTGTTTTTACGTTTTTCTTACCGAGGCGTCGATATTTAAGTAACCACGCACCTGTTATTCAGAGCCCGCTTGTGATGAAAAAAAGATTTAAAAAAACGAATCCTGTCTGCAGGAATGTTTTTATTTTATCATTACATTATTTTCATCTCTCCGTCGTACGCATGATATGATTACCGGTGGGATATTATCCAAGTTTTAACAAAAAATACACTCACCAGCAGCCCCGTTTTATCTGAATAAATGTTTATGACAATTTGTTTTTTTTTACAAAATTTTCTATCCAAAAACTAAATTCATTGCGTCATCGTCGGATAAATAAATAACTTTCGAAATCTACGTTATTTTTAACCAGTAGGTGTAATAACATGTTGTAAAATTTTATCAAAGATAACTCTCGTTTGGAATAAATTTCATCGATGAAATGGATTTAAATTTTCATGCAAATCGAATGTGATTTACGTTACTACTAAACCCCGTTGGTTTGGCTGCGAAAGTGTATAATTCCTTTGGCGATTACCTGTGACCCACCACTTAAAATTCTACCAATACGAATGCACAGACGTAACCGCTCTATGAAAATTATTCTCTACAACTCTCTTTCTCGTCCTTTCGTCGATGATCGATCAAATTAGTGCTAAAAATAAGAGATAGTCCTCCATTGCACACATGATGGATGACGTTACGAGTAATTATATAGGTATACACCAATCGATCGAACGCACACACATGCTTCAATACCATGTGATTGAGTGCGATTGATTTTGTTTTTTTTTTTTGTTTTTTTTTTAATCACGAGTAGTCAATTAGCATCCGTTACAATGTGCGTTTGGTTATTGTCCACGACTGGCAGGAGAAGACGATGTAATTGCATGAGTTTGAATTGGCACGCTGATTGTCTCCTTCGAAACAACGAGATTTTGGATTTCCCTAAAGTTGTCAAACTACATCAAACTACGGCCGATAAAGAGAGTATACAAAATTATTGTATTTTCATTCAATCCTTACTGCAAAGAAAACAACGCAAGATATGTATATTTAAAAATTGTTGCCAATCAGTGTGAATGAAGACGCGCCACTTTTGCTTTCAGGACTCCGTGTTTGTGTACCACCAGAGGAAAATTTGCTCTCACCCGTACTGGTGGCAACCTGGATTCACTATTTAAGGGATCTCGAGAGGAAAAACAACTGCAAGTATGTATAGGTACAATTCATCAGTTATGCCATGGGAGCATCCAAAGAAAACCAGATCTCCAGAGAGAGACGGCCTTGTACAACATACACCAACAGGTGATGTGTAAACGAGAGATGGAGCATCTGCCCGCACAACATTCTCACTTTTGCTCCCTGAAGGACCCTCGCTATACTTACTTCCAATTTAGTGTAGCTAAACAAGCACGTACATCTACATACCTAACGAATAAAAAAACAAAGTGGAAGAGGAGGAGAAGTGATGGAAGTATATATAAGTAGGCGCAGGAAGGTAGGCAGGTTGGTGATGGGTATACACGCGTCAATCCGGAACAAAGCGAGGCGGAACAAGCTGTAGTCCGTAGGTATACGTGTGTAGTATAGAATACATTATACGAACATGATGACAGTACCTACTGATGGGTGCGGTTTGAGCTCTTTTTTTTTCTTGCTCGTGATGTGTGCCCCAGAGGAAAAGAGTCGACTCAAGTGTCAGCACTGTCAGCGGCTCGTGTGGCTTTATTGATTTAACAGGCGCGATAAAGACCCTAGCTCTGCCACTTTGCCCTCTTCCTCGCGTACACACACTTTCGCCCTACATTTTAGCGAGTAAGTATATATATGTGTGTACGTTCTAGCTGATGATGATGACAAGGATTTGTTATGAAATGTGTGGAGGGCAGGTACCCGTGCTTGAAACCATTCAACAAACGAGGTATATTGTTTCATATACGTGCAAAGTTGTAAAACTAAAATCATCATTTATTGAAAAAGGAATGTTAAACTCAGATTATTTTTATTCACAGAGTATTGTGTCACTGTAGTCAAGCAGATCTTTGCTACTTATCAAGTTATATCTACCTATGTGTGTTTTGAACGAGATTACCAAGTACAATTTTAAGATGTTTGAATACACAGAAATGGGATTAATATCAATGATAACTGTAGTTAAGAAAGAATTACTTTTTAAGAATCATTATTGTAAGTTAAAATGAAATTTTACTTTAAATTTACGACTATAAGCTAATTTTTTCATTCATACTTTAAACAACTGATGTACCTCATGTTTCCATATTTTTCATTGAATAGCAGATTAAATTTCCATGTCAAAAAATTATTAAAAAATAAAGTATATGAATGTATGCATTTTTTTTCAACTAATACAATACAGTTGTAAATTAACTGCTGTCACTTAAACCCCGACGTCCCAAAGAATTTTTACATACTCTGATTCACTACTACTAGCACTACTACTGCTCCTACTTGTTTCTTCGTCCTCACTATCAATCTGATCTCTATCGATGTCATTATTTATCAAGTCATTGCTCTTATCACTGGAATCCAACATGGATTCTGATGTCTTAGCTTCCATCATTTCTTTAAACTGCTTGAAAGTTATCTTCTAAGGTATGACATCCCACATGAATTCAAATTTCTTGCTGGAGTGCACAACGTCGGCCAAATGTTTGTACTCCAATGTTCCACGAGTGCTTTTACTAACCGTGACTTTTGTCATCAAGTAAAGGCAATCCTGAGATATAACTTCCACCCCAGGAGAACTTTTCACGATTATCTTTACTCGGGTCATGGGAAGGCACAAATCTTGGGAAACTTGACATGGAAGCAACGATTGTTTGGAATTCATTGTGTAAGTATGTTTAGAAGCAGAATAAGAAGTACTTCCTTTGTCAACTTTTTTCTTCTCCTTGCGATCTCTTACTTTTTTTTCCCAGTTAATGTGCAATTGGAGTCTAAAATGTCAACACGGTAAGTACAAATATTCAATTATAATTGATTTCTTGTTAGCTCATGTCAAAACCCGACCCCACAGACATATACCTTTCAAAACTACCGGAACGTCATGTCAACCGCGTTCGGTCAAAGTAATAATTTCTTACCAATGCACTTTTTCGGATAACGTAAGTGAAAAAGCCATAAGATTTGTTCAAGCCCCCTTTTCGTTCGGTTCGGTTCTCTTAACAAAATATACCTATGTATATAGGGAACCGCAAACAGAACTGGTTCTGTATAAATAGGTATATATTTTGTTAAGAGAACCGAACCGAACCAAAAGGGGCTTGAACGAACCTATTAGTTCACGAATGAATCAACTTGAGTTTCTACATTGCCGACTAATTTCTGCATTTACAGTTGTTGCAGGTTGCATGGTGCGTCATTGCGTCATATCAGTTTGCATTTGCAGTATTTGCACATTTTGCACGTTTACCTAGCATTCCCTCAGACAATACACTTTGAACTTTCGAAGGTTAAGTTCTCGAAGTTGTAAGTGTTACTTGTAACACTCGGTTTTTTTAAATTCTCAACTGTTAAGTATTTCAAACTTGTAAAGTGTTAGAATAAAAGTGACCCTTATTTTTGTACACAACACATACTTTGAGTTTGTGCCGACAATGAGCGAGTCTGACGGAGAAAGTTACGATGCCATTCGGAGAAAAAACATCGCCGAGATGCGCGCGGCGGTAAGAGAGTTCAAAGAGTTGTTTTTTCACAAGCAAAACAAACGGTTGAGTTATTTATTCAAAATCCGCAATCGAAACTAAAATCAACCTTGTCGTATTCTTTATTAGTTCCAAAAAATATTGGACGAGACGGAAGAGGAAAGAAACGAGCTGAACCAACTGCAGGAAGCGTCGAAAGAGGAGCCAAAGAAGCCTAAAAAGAGGCGCAGGGATCGTCCTCAGGGCTCACCAAAAGCTCAAAAAGTTTTCATTAGGAAGTACGAGACTAGATATGCGTCCAGGCCAAAAAATAACAATGACGAGGGAAAGGATGAATTAGAAGCAAAAAAGTACAACACCAGAGCTTCGAGTAGGAAGGATGATGTTGAGGTTCCCAAGGATGGAGGTTTTCAGGTCGTGCGTGAGTTGAAGTGTTCGTTCAAATCGTTTTTTGACTCCAGTGCAGAGGAGGACGAAGAAAATGAAGAGGAGAATGAAGCTGATGTTTCCCTTTACATGCCCAGCTCAGAGAGACGTAAGAAGCTTAAGAGCATAAAGACATCCAATGCTGATGCTGATGATGATGATGATGAGGATGACGATGATGGAAACGGCGGTAAACACTTTACTTTGAAAGAGTACGCTGAAAAGTACCAAAAGAAAAAAAAGGTTTATAACATGTCCAAGGTGACTTATGATCCCAGCAAAATTCCAACGCCTGATGAGATAACGCAAGAAATGTTGGATTGCGTTGTTCTAAGGGCGGGCGATAAAGACCATGACCCACATAATGGTACGAGTTGTCACCAGTGCAGACAAAAAACAAAGGATTTCAAAACGCTATGCCGGTCTGGTAGATGTACTGGTGTGAAAGGTCGATTTTGTGGTCCTTGCCTACAAGGAAGGTACGGAGAGTCAGCTCTTGAAGCTCTGAAGGATCCTGTGAGTAATTTTTTTAATTGTTCAAACTTGTAACTCATACGAATTAAAAAATGGTGATTTAATATTAATTCTTTTAGCATTGGTCTTGCCCAGTGTGCAGAGGAATCTGCAATTGCAGTATTTGTCTCAGACATCAAGGAAAGAAACCAACTGGTCAAATGGCACCAACTGCTATGAAAAAGGGCTTCAAATCGGTAAAAGATTACTGCGATGCTAAAGAAAAAGAATCATTTTGCAATAACTAAGAGAATTAAGAGTGATGGAATTAAAATCGATCTCATTTAATATTCAGTTGTTTTTGTAGAAATTACTTTCATTTAATAAAGTTTATTATTTTTCAACAGTACATATTAAATATGTTCATATACATGGGTAAAAATAACTATGTACAGTTTGGGACAATTTTAAATTATATTAGTTTTTGTTTTAATAGAAGCTCTAATCTTTGTAATAAAACAAGCAACTTTTGGCCATAACTTTGGAGATAAAAAATAATGATTGAATGTTGTTGAGTTACCTTTACCATGGATTTAAAAATGTTTTTGTTAAATACCAAAGGCATGATTCTCCATTGTAAACGACGTTGCACAACGGGACTCTTTATAATGTTCTACTTGGTTTTACAAAGTAAGAAGAAAAGATACACAGTTTTTCAAGTGTATACTACTCAATCGCTTTGATCATTTGATCCATGATTTTCATCAAACGCAACTTAACTGAATAGTGGGTGATTGGAGACTCTCTAGAATATATGTGGTTTAATGAAATTCAGTGATGCTTTTCATTCATTTCATTTGATTCATTTACTTGCAATGCAAACAAACCGTTACTACCATCGAGTTAGTAGAATTAACCCATACGATGCGATGTGTTGTCTTGATTCTTTCCCAATATTCCTTTGAAATATTTCATCTACGTGAATCACAGAGTTCAAATCAACACGCAGGCATCCCTGCTTGTTGCGCTTGAGCGATTCAAAGTAGGTACTAAAAGCATTTAATTGTGCCGTCGCAGAAGGACTTTGAGCCGTAACATTTCAGAGTCCAGCTCGCCGAAGTAGAAGAAAAAACAAAAAAAGATAAAACCACACGCAGCAGTTCGGTTAGCTGCACGGTGGCGCGACAGGCATGTGTTTATCGAGGGGGAAGCAGGCCTGGGTCCGGCTGGCTTACACCGAATTAAGAGCAATTACGCAAGTGCCGTCGTGGACGTATGCGCGCTGTGATCGCCCGCGCAGAGAGCTATACCACGCACGCAGGAGGAACAAATTTTTATGTGCTTAGAAAACAGGAAAAAAAAAATAATAATAATACCGTTGGACAGCTTTGTTGTAAATTTTTTTTTTTTTTTTCTCTGTTCCAGAAGTATAGTACTGCATGTAAGCCACTCTTGGACAATTCGTTATTTAAGAAATGAGCTGCTGCCATGATTCACATCGGCGTTTTCAGGTAAGGAATTTTTGTGTGCTGTAACATTGAAACTAATGGTAAAAAAGTAAGGAAAAAATCGAATGTTTCGTCGCTAGGCGAGTCGTGGATATTCAAGCGTGAACACGATCGAAGGAAGCCTTGGGTGTACAACAACGAGCAAGGAGTGGAAATTGGTCGTTGTACGTGGTGTGCCTTCGATGGACAAAACAACACAGGAAAAATACACAAGACCAAAGTCGAGGCAGTCGTGCCCATCCTCCGTGAAAAGTCTGGCCCTCTCGGCAAGTATCAAGAGTCAAGAGCATCACCTGCTGCTACTCCAATCCTATCCTCCATTATACACGGCATCAAAAGGAAGAAAGAGAAAAAAGTGTATCTAAGTATACTATACATACACGTAGCGGGCGGGGGCATCGAGCACACACTCGCGGAGAGAGTCTTTTTCTATTTTCGTGGGACGACGAGACACGACCTTCGCTCTTGCACTATCTATACAATACACACACGTGGGGGTCTGTGGTGGACGGGCCTTTCCATCGAATAATTAATGACGCAAGAGTGCAGTCCGAGGCTGGGACGGAACGGCGAAAGTGCGCGCGTCTTCTCCACGGTGATGTAAGTATATATACTTTCATCGAAAGGGAAAAGAGTCGGAGGTATAAAATGCACGTGAAGCCTCTTTTACTCCCTTGTACGGAGGGTACGAGGATATGAAAGGGAGAGAACCCGAGGGGGAAGGTGACTGTCGCGGCATTTGAATCGTGAGCTTTTACATGGGAGCTGAAGCTTGCGGTAACTATACGCTTTGCAGAACACCGAGGAGCGAGTTTTTACAAAAATTCTCCTGTATAGTCACGTTCGAATGACTCAGGGGGTGCAGATTTATTGCAGATTTATTGAACATCATTGAAATCATCGTACACGAGTAAAGTATGACAACAACAGTCTTTGTCTTGAAGTGCGTTTTTTTTTTCGAAAGAAATTTTTACTATCGGCTTACAAAAAAAACTTAAAATCTATTTCAAGGAAGGCATATTTCTATTGCAAATCCTATTTTTTTTACTTTGTCTTGTGTGTTGCTGTTTACACAACGTTAGTATGTGTACAGTATTTTAAATAAGCATATACTTAATAACGCAATATTTAAAAGTATACCGTATTTATTTACAGCATTACTTTTAATTTAATTTTTTTTTTTTTTTTTTTAATAAACACAGTACTTTATTTGTTAATTTTATATTTCAGGTTGTAATTAATCACGAGATGACTTTTTTTTCCTCTACATGAATGCGGTTCGAGCGTGTTTTGTTCATCGAGTGTTTTATTTTACTCCACTTTTTTTTTAAATGGCATCAAGACAACGTTTTTAGTAAACCTTTCAACAACGAATGAAACGGGTTTTACTTTTTTAGAATTAAAAAGAGGTAGAAATAAATGAAAGTCTAAAAATATGCGGTGAAACTCACTAAATGTATAAAAAGTAGTTAAAAAGTTGAAGCAAGTAAATAAATGGCATTAAGAAGAAAAAAAAATAAAAAGTTCAACATAAACAGGTCAAGATAAAAAATGTTTTTGCATTTTTTGCAGAAAGTGTACGTAAAAATTAACGTTGGGAATGCAAAGTTACACAGATTAAGTGTAGCGTAAGTTAATTGAAAAATTAAAAATAAAACTAATACGGCAGTTATGAAAGGTAATGGGCATAAGAAACCATCGGCGAAAATATGAATAGGAAAAGAGGACAAGCGAGCTATTAAAAGTCAATGTGTATATTGTGTATTCCTGTACGTATACAGTACACGCGGGTATACGGTAAGCGCATCTCGCGAGATGACAATGCGACACTCAACAAATACAAATAAGATTACATACGAAGTAGGTATATAATATACGTAATGCATAAGTAGGGGCTGCGGAACTTTATACCTACAACCTATACATGTATATAATATATTGTATTCAAGCGTCATACTATATACGCGTGGGAGAGTAGAGCGGAAGTGAGACCTATAACGTGTATATACATATATGTACGTTATACGCACCGAGTAGTTGCGAGCTCAGCTCTAGGAAGAGTATATATAGGAGGAAACGAGCCGGAGCTTATATTGATTTTCTGGGCTTTCAGTGTAAAATATATATCTATGTATTTATGTATGTATATATATGCGTTCTCCTCTACGTATAGTCACCACCGTCGTCGCCGCGACGCTTTTCCCGAGCCACCCCCCATGCAAGGGGAGGTTGTAGCACATACGTAAACGGCGAGTACGTGTTGGTGCTTACGTCCCTGCGACATATAATGCATATACGTACATATGTATGTTAGCTCGAATATATATATACTAACAGCACACTTGGCTTACTTTTATAGGTGAACACACCTCCTCTCCTCGTTTTTGTTATTGCTGCCTCCTCGTAGTGTAATCTAGGGTGATCTAGGCGATGGTCTATATGTATATCCGTGCCTGTGGTGGTGATGGTTTTTGTCTTTGTTTCGCTCACCCTCACCCGTATACCCCCACATTGTTTTTGCCTTTGACGAAAACTTTTTGCGGTCATGCCTCGTCACGCACTTTACCGATGATATATATTTTTTTGTTTTTAATGAGCAATTCAGCACCTAAACTATTTCTTTGCTGTACATTGATGTACACGTGCTGTTTGCCAATTGCCAAAGATTCAATGGTTTCATTTTCAATTGAATCTTATAAATAAAGCGTTATTTTGACGGCTTTGCGCAAATTTCGGGAAATTTCCTTTGCTCGAGTTAATTTGTCGAAGATAATCAAGTGTGTAGGATGATAACCCTAAACAACGAGCGAGCAACGATGTTGGAGGTTTTTTTTTGTTTTTTGTTTTTTCCAATTGAAAAAACAGAGAAGGGACAATTTTTCACAGAAAACATTCATCCTAACACACGTCATTTTAATATACTTAATAACTTGAGTAAAAAAAAGAAAAAAAATTTGTGTGTGTGTGTGTGATGTATAGGGCTCATTTTCACAGCCAGAATCATTGATGTGTATTGTTTTTTTTTTTTGGTTTTTTGTTTTTTTGTTTTTCTTCATTCAAGTTTCACGTGAGCCATCGCTCTCGTGGCGTTAATAAATCACACAGGCCCGAGTTAATACTTGATCATGCTGCAGCCTCGTCGTAATAATACCGGTGACACGTGCAAACGATGTGCGCACCGCGACGTGACGCTTAATCCTCGTATCCCGAATTCCATTGCCCGATGCATGAATGTTTCACCCCCGCGCGCCTCATCAAAATTTATCCCCCCCCCCTCCCTATGGCCCTCGAAACGACTGCACTATGTGGGTTGGGAACGGAAAAAGCGCTCGAGATGCTGATGCTTCGGCCGCACCAAAAGAGATGGGTGTAGATTGAGTTGGGCGGGTAAACAACAGGAGTCAGGTGGCCGACATTCGCCGCCTCCGCGACCTCGTTGGCACGAGTCGTCTCCGTGTACGCGCGATATGACACGAGACAGCCGGCACTTTGTTTGGTAGTTTTAATTGAAGGGAAAACAAAAACAAAAAAAGAGTTTCAAAGGCATACAAACCAAGTGATTGTATTGCGATTACAAAAGCGAGAGAGTGGTGTTATCTTGTTACTTTCAAGTTTACTTGGAGCTTAATAATTACTTGAATCTAAGTTTTTTTTTTTTTTTTTTTTTTTATTAATGGGGACAATATCAGTAGCCCCAAATCTGCAGAAAAACAGATTTTTTAATGCAAAATTTGAAAGGGTAAGCTTATGATCTGTTAAAAAAAGAATAATTTTCAAAAATTCCTCAATTTTATCTCTCATTGGACTCGAAACAACGTAAGGCATCGAGAATTTTTTTACTCTCTGTCGTTCTTATTTATCCGTANTTATTTTATTTTATTTTTTTTCTTCATTTTTCGGTGAATTTTTTATTTCTTAAAATATACTATGTAAAAAGTAACTCGTCATAAATATACTCAAGTCTATACCAAAAAAAAAAACAACACGTTTTGATCCTTAAAACCTCGATTGATATACTTGTAACTTTCGATCAATCGCATTCGTATTTTCGATCCCAACAAAAAAATTCGATGTTTTTTTAATCCACAAAGCCAAAAACGAGGTATCCTTCATCCATGAGGGCATCGATAAAACACGATCGAGCTTTTCCGTTCGTGGCGCGAAAATTGACTTACATCGACACGACGCGCCAAAGTACAGTGGACTCACCAAAAAAAACGAGGTATCCAGAGTTTTTTCTTTTTTGGGAAAACTTTTTTTTCATTGATGCGGTGCCGTTGCCCCTTTTTTATTCCCATTTGAGACTGCACGTAATAGAATTTATTCATGAGCCCGTAGTTGGCCCTGTTTATGTATAGCGTGCATCAATATATTATACCGGGCAAAGTTAATTTTTCTTTCAGTCTGGGTTTGCGGTCCAGCGTCGTGAAATACATAATGGATTTCGTCTGTGTTTTTCTCTTTGCTTGGATTTTTCCTTTTACAAGTATATAGGTAAGCGATTAATGGAGAATACAAAAATTTATTTACTCTACGTTTGTATGAATAAAAAAAAAAAGGACAAGTGTATTTTAAAAAATTTCAATGCGTTTTGCAAATGTTTCGATCTGTTTACCATTAGTATTTTTTAAGGAGGAAAGGGATGATGTGTTACAACTCACTTGATAATCAATAGGTTTGCAATGGCTGGCATCTGCAACTCACCTGCAACAGAAAAGAAGAACACAAAAAAAAAAATTAAACCAGTTTTTTGGCAATGAATAGTTAAAAATACACGCTTAGGTCTCATAATATATAGTTATTGCAATACATCATAATTTACAATAATATTAAAAATGAAAAGCACGTAGCAACGTTGTACACGTACGATAATTAGTATTCAATATGAATTTGTATAATATCTGTAAGATAGTGTTGCGTGTATACACCAGGTAAAAGCAAATGGTGAGAGATCCTTAATCAATTTTGCACACAATTGAATGAACACCTAACATGGGCATTCCGTTGGACTTTAGTGAGGCTGCATTGTTCAAGATTCAAAGTATTAACGACTTAAACATGGCTTTTTACATTGAGAAAATAATTTTTTTTGTATGCTCTATTGTATGCATCATACTTGTTTTTAGACATCATCGAAAAAAAGTATCCAATTGGCTCGCGTAACTTATACTTAATAATAATTGTATAAAAGAGGTGCCGGTGAGACAAATAAACGTACAGTTGAACTGCTTAAGGCTACGTTTTGGTACAATATCTTTCAGATCGCGCTGCTCTATATATACACGTAATCATTACATTTTAAAAAATCGTGGGTAAAAATAGTACATTTTGCACTACTATTTTTGTAATCAAGACATCTGGTTATTGGTTGATAGGGGGGGGGGGTGGTTTGACTCGCTTCCGGGTAAGTTGTTCACCACCGCGTTGTATGAAGTAGAAAATATTCCAAATCTTTGGTACCAACAGGGAATCGCGTAATCGGCGTGCCGATTGATCACACGAGAATTAACCTAATGCAAACTCGTACGTTGGAACGAGTGAATAAGTATTTATGTATATTTTTAGTTGACAACCGGCTCGTAAGCATCATCCGCGCAGATGGATTTCACTCGGAATCGAGAAAAGGAGGATAGCTTGTACGTAAGGGGGTACGAAAGAGAGAGAGAGAGACGGAAAGAAGAGGTACAACTAGACAGATGGGCGTTCGATAGCACTCGTATTCATTTGGCTGAAAGCATTTACGTGTTTGTATGTGGTTAATACTCTCGAGAGCACGTGTATATATAGTGAAAAACGATATACGGCCAGACTCTATACGTATATACGGTTAGCTCCTGCTGGTCATTTGTTTACCGAACTGATGGGTTTCAGCTATCCATGGGCATAATGGATTGCAATCGTGTGGTGCGGCTGATGATGCAGGGTCGTGTTTAAAATTAATTTTGTTTTTTGTTTTTTTTCTTTCTTTTTTTTTTTTTTTGCACACGGTATCTTATAAGTACTTTCTTTTCTTTTTGCTCGAGTGGTATTGAACTTTGAAAAATAAATTACCAGAAATCAAAGAACGATTTTTTGAGAAAAGTTATATTGTGTATGTAAAATGCGAGGTAAAATGTGCACACACCGAATTTCAGTAGTAGGTCGCGGTACAGAAACGTTGAGGTAAAGAAAGCGTCGATGACGCTATATTGGTTTTGCGAAACATATATACCTAGGTACTACTACCGTTGACATTTTGCTGGAAATGATGTATAGAAAATTTCTGCCATTGCCCGTATAATATATATTGTATACAATCGAATGTACGGTTTGGCAATCAAGCTCAACTTGGCGAAGCAGAACCACGCGAACGATAGGAACACTGGCTCGATGGGGAAGCAAAAACCAAAGACTCTGAGGAAAAAGTGCTCGAGACGAAACGGCACTCGTAATCAGTACCTACCTCGCGAGAAAAAGAACTATAGACGCAGCTGCTGCTAATTAAAGGCAGCCGCTGCCTTGAATCTCCTGTGATTGGCTGGTGCAACACTGAGAGAACGTTGGTGATTCTGCACTCCTAAAAACAGGGCAGCAACGCTACCATTACCTTAGATTAGATACTTGACAATTTCGTGCAAGACAACGACCGTTGTCCACTAATAATTCGCGCTGTAAAACNAAAAAAAAAAAAAAAAAGTCAGAATGCTTCAAGAAGACGTTGCTGAGGTAGCATCAACTAGCATCATCGGTGGCTGTATCTCTCGTCGTCAAAGAAAGAGAGGAGGTACACATGTACAGGTGAACGCTCTCTTTTTTTTTTGGTATAGACGACTGGGGAGAAGATATATATAGTGGGCTTTAATATACAATTTACATGTATGTAGGTACGTACGTGCAAGCCACGCGCGTTCTTTTTTGATTCGATTTCACGTAACGAAATAAAAGTAAAAAATAGAGAGAGGGGCTGAAGGCTGTTACGGATTGGACAAACTTTACACCAATAAAAGTCTTTAATACCATTTCAAAGACATGTTGCACAGTAGTTTGTCTATAATTGTGCACTGCAATGAAGAATGGGATTACTTGACATATAAGGAGGTAAAAAAAAAAAAAAAAAAAAAAAAAAAAAAAGTTCTCAAGTGTGAAATTGAGTCAATCGAATGTGAAATTGATAGAAATGGAAGAACTATAACAATTTAATAGTCTGATTAAACTAAAACGTCGAATTATTATTTTTTACTGCAGCGTATCGCAGAGAGCCGAGTTATCTCATTATACCTATCTACTGGCTTTTCTCGGGTGGAGAGTTGCCATCAATCGATTGATATTTTTCACGGTAATCGTTAGTACAGTAAGAAAAAAAAAATTCACTGTTCAATTGTCTAATTTGTTATTAGATCACATTACTAAGAAATAAGTAATATTTAAAAGATTCAATAAAATAAGCAAAGTCGAACTTATAACTATTATCATTAAACGGTTCTTCGAAACCATTATTGCTCAAAAAAATATTATAAAGCACTCTCAAGGCAATGTAAAAAAAAAAAAAAAAGTGTTGGTGCTGGAATCATCGTGACAATTTAAATTATTCTAAATGGATACATAACGGGCAGTGATCACCTTAGACACAGGGAATTTTTTCCACTATTGTTATGGAACGTCTGAGTCGTTAGTAAGTATATTTTTATGTAACTTTTAGTGTATACATATGTACAAGGAAAATATTTACTGTATAAAGTGTAATGCACACCACTGATATATTTTTAAAAATAATCAGATTTCACCCTCGCCTTGACTTGATAAATTCAATCAAATTTTTTGCTCGACAGTTACAAGTGGGTTACAATACTTGGAGTAAACCTCCGGTAAACATCAATTTTGGCTTTTTATTCGTCCATTTACTGCGACCAATAAACTTAATTTAAAGCAAAGAAAGATGCGTCGATGCATTTTCCACGAGTAACGCTACACATAATAATATATATATCGACTGTCATCGTGAAGCCTTCCGTGAGAGAAAAAGAAAGAAAAACATGCAGCCTCCAAACAAAAAAGAAAAACAAAAGGATCTCTGGCGGTAACAAAAGTTTTCAGGCGAGTCGGCCAGAGCAACGGCAAAACGAAAAAGAAACAAAGGAAGAAGAGAGGGGGGAGGGAGGAAGAAAAAAAAAAGCGGACGGACGAATAGTCGAGCTGCTGATCCACCTCTTCCTTCTTCTCTCACTTCTAGCAAGGCAGCTTAATGAGCGTATGTATATGTACGCGTCGAAGGGCCTACGTCACGTCCGCATTTGCGCTAATCTAGCTGCTCAGTGTGTGTACCTACGTATATAGAATGCGCGCGAGTATGTATATCTGTATGAATATTGCGTTGTTGCAGCCGTCGTTTGGGCATGTTGATTTTTTTTTTTTTTTTAATTCTAATGTGGCTTATATGGGTGTTTTATCCAGTTCTAAGAATGTTTTTTCTCGTGAGGTGGGTGATTCTTTTTTACGGAAAAGGTCACGTGAATACGGCTAATGGCAGCCAATTGAACTTATGATTTTTTCTGCATAATACTTAACATGGAAAGTCATAAAAAAAGGGCAGAAATTATTGATCCATGGGGTGATTCCGAGGGTGATTTTTTTTTACGATTCGAGTTTGTAATATAAATACAATATTGCTGCGTTCTGAGAGTGATTGATTGAGAACATCCGTATGCACTTGACATTTCGTTTTAATCAAAAGACTTATTTGCGTTTTTACCAACACTACTTAGGACAGATCGGTACTTTGAAAAAAAAAAAATTAAAAAAGATAAAAAACCACAAGTTGCTCGCATTGCAATGGAGTTAAATTTGGCGCTGAACTTATTGTCGCGCGAAGAGGCAGCGTAGAAAGAAAAAAAAAAAAAAAAAAAAAAAACACGAGTAAAAGAAATCAATAGTAAACTTGACCGCCAGCGTGAAAGCATTTGATCTAGAAGAGAGAAAGAAAGAAATCAAGAGTCTTGGACTCTCGGGCGTATTTTTAAACGTGACCAGTGCCAAGAGAGCAAAAGTCGTGCGTTAAAAAAAGAAAAATATATACGTAGCGCGATAAAGTGCTTAAGATGAACTTAAAAAGATATAAACTTGCAGTTTTAAATAAAAAAAATGTCGCTGAATGATTTTAGAACAATGAGAAAAATTGAATTTTCAAACGAAATCTCCCCTTTCAGCTTCTTACTTTCTTCCCTCACTCTTTAACACTTTTTTTTTACCATTTGAAAGAAAATTTCTTGGGAAAACATATGTTTGGAAACTAAGGATTGAGTTTATCATCCATTTAACTAGCCCATAAAATTATGAGCAATACCTACTTATTTTTCAAGTGAAATGCCTATCCTTAAATTTACTTTACTTACTTCAAACCGTTAAAGAATACGTTTCCCAAATATATTCCTAATAACTTAAACGAGAGTTGTTACTTTAACTGGAATTATAAAAAAATAATTTACATTAGCATTTAGTATAGATGGATTAATCCATAATACAGTAGAAGGTAGACAGGAAAAATAAGAGAGAGAACGGGGGAGGTGGAGGTATAGATACGTGCTTAGGAAGTGACTGGTACGTGGAGAGTGTCGGAAGTAGGAAGCGAGGGAGACGACGAACACGAGTATAAAAGACGACGATGATGAGAGCGCTTCATTGTCGGCAACATTATGCGAGTTTACCTATAAATTTTACAAAGTATCTAC